ACTTCGAAATAAAATATTTATATTTGTTCTTTTAAAGATTAAGCTATTAATGACAGTTATGCAAGGAATACAAATGTTTTGACACAAAATGGTATAGAATTTTGATAATGTGCAAATATGGTATAATATACACTACCTTCGGAAAAGTATCCGATCAGCTGAAAACAAAAATTTTATATATTTAATAATGTTGTAAATGGAATTAATATACTCTGGATGCTTCATTTCATTTCTGGCATACTTTTTATAATTTGTTTATGTGTTCAATATCATTATTCATTGGAAAGTGGCTTCCGGTTCTTTTAGCACTCAATTAACTATTTAATTACCATGTAATTTTTAAAATACGGGTAATAACTTATGAGTTCTCCGTAAACCTACTAAAATCCACGTTCAAACACATTTAGTTGAATGGCGCAGTTTTAAAATGTATGTAAAAATCGGAGATGTTTATGAATTTTTTATTAAAACTGGTCTTTGCATTGTTACACGAATAAAAACGTATAGGGGGGTTTTTTAAAATAGAAAGTGTTTTATTATATTGTGTGCATCAATGAAAACATTAAAAAAAAAATTAAAAAAAAATGTAATATAAAGATTTATTATGCAAATTACAAAACTTTAATAATTTCACGCCAAGAATAAAGTAATTCCTAATCCTTAGGATTTGAAAAATATGACGTGACTCCACAATTCTTAGACTTTTTTCAACTCGGACGCATTAATTAATTATCTTGCCGAATTCTTATATGAATATGGATTAAACGGGAATTTACAGCAGTCTAAATGTATTTGTCAAAATCAAATGATTAAAATCTTGAATGTCAAACTAATGAACTATAAATTAGTTTTTGACGAAGCTACAGTAAGTATTATCATTATAGATTATCGACGGAATACTAAAGTAATTGAAATGAGTCATGGAAAAATCTAGTTTTCTTCATTATAGTTTTGTTTTTTTTTTGCATTATTATATTGAAATTTTTTTTCTAAAATTATTTTTTCTTGATATCGATCGTATTTTTTTTTAAAAAAATAGAAAGGATCAATACTTTACATTTTTTTTATTTGCGATAGTGTAAATCTGATTAAATTTGTCCTTCTAATTTCCAGTAAATTCAACCCGAATGATTCATTAAGCAAGCTTGTGATGTATTCTTGCTTTCTTAAAATACCTTCACTAATCCTTTTTCATTTACCGTCTACCCTACTCCAATACCTGCTTCCCTTGTAATATCAGTTTCGTTATCGGGATAAATCTGACGCGGAAGAGCTTTTAATTATATTATTTGAGTTGCAATAACTATACACAAATAAACTGAAAAATACTTTTGATCAAGACCAGTTTTTCGGTTCTCGTCACCCATTTTGTAAAACTTCGGAAAAAATGTTTAATCATAAATTGCCGGTAGAATTTTTTAAAACTGGAAATATTATTTTATATGTATTTTGTATTTTCCTTTTAATTATAAGTGCAACCCGGTGTCAGTTGCGAAATATTACTCTGCCTCATATGTCTCGATTGTCATGAAAATTCTACTTTATCAACTTTGGAACGATTAATAATCATGTAACTTATCTTATTTTCATTATGTAGCTATTTTTCATTATAC